AGGAGTGTTCTGCCCCCCCCCACAGGAGTGTTCTGCCCCCCCCACAGGAGTGTTCTGCCCCCCCACAGGAGTGTTCTGCCCCCCCCCACAGGTGAGTGTTCTGCCCCCCCCCCACAGGAGTGTTCTGCCCCCCCCCCCACAGGAGTGTTCTGCCCCCCCCCCCCCCCCCACAGGAGTGTTCTGCCCCCCCCCCACAGGAGTGTTCTGCCCCCCACAGGAGTGTTCTGCCCCCCCCCCCACAGGAGTGTTCTGCCCCCCCCCCCACAGGAGTGTTCTGCCCCCCCCCCCCAGGAGTGTTCCCCCACAGGAGTGTTCTGCCCCCCCCCCACAGGAGTGTTCTGCCCCCCCACAGGAGTGTTCTGCCCCCCCCCCCAGGAGTGTTCTGCCCCCCCCCCACAGGAGTGTTCTGCCCCCCCCCCCACAGGAGTGTTCTGCCCCCCCCACAGGAGTGTTCTGCCCCCCCCCCCCACAGGAGTGTTCTGCCCCCCCACAGGAGTGTTCTGCCCCCCCCCACAGGAGTGTTCTGCCCCCCCCCCCACAGGAGTGTTCTGCCCCCCCCCCCACAGGAGTGTTCTGCCCCCCAGGAGTGTTCTGCCCCCCCCACAGGAGTGTTCTGCCCCCCCCCCCCACAGGAGTGTTCTGCCCCCCCCCCCACAGGAGTGTTCTGCCCCCCCCCACAGGAGTGTTCTGCCCCCCCCCCCACAGGAGTGTTCTGCCCCCCCCACAGGAGTGTTCTGCCCCCCCCACAGGAGTGTTCTGCCCCCCCACAGGAGTGTTCTGCCCCCCCACAGGAGTGTTCTGCCCCCCCCCCACAGGAGTGTTCTGCCCCCCCCCACAGGAGTGTTCTGCCCCCCCCACAGGAGTGTTCCCCCCCACAGGAGTGTTCTGCCCCCCCACAGGAGTGTTCTGCCCCCCCCACAGGAGTGTTCTGCCCCCCCACAGGAGTGTTCTGCCCCCCCCACAGGAGTGTTCTGCCCCCCCCCCACCCAGGAGTGTTCTGCCCCCCCACAGGAGTGTTCTGCCCCCCCCCCACAGGAGTGTTCTGCTCCCCCCCCACAGGAGTGTTCTGCCCCCCCCCACAGGAGTGTGTTCTGCCCCCCCCCACAGGAGTGTTCTGCCCCCCCCCCACAGGAGTGTTCCCCCCCCACAGGAGTGTTCTGCCCCCCCCCCACAGGAGTGTTCTGCCCCCCCCCCACAGGAGTGTTCTGCCCCCCCACACAGGAGTGTTCTGCCCCCCCCCCACACAGGAGTGTTCTGCCCCCCCACAGGAGTGTTCTGCCCCCCCCCCACAGGAGTGTTCTGCTCCCCCACACAGGAGTGTTCTGCCCCCCCACACAGGAGTGTTCTGCCCCCCCCCCACAGGAGTGTTCTGCCCCCCACAGGAGTGTTCTGCCCCCCCCCACAGGAGTGTTCTGCTCCCCCCACACAGGAGTGTTCTGCCCCCCCACACAGGAGTGTTCTGCCCCCCCCCCACAGGAGTGTTCTGCCCCCCACAGGAGTGTTCTGCCCCCCCCCCCCCCACAGGGCGTCACACGCCCCGCTCACCCTCCGCACGGTACGACTATTACTGAAGCAGGGCTCTGTAATGACCGTGAAGGTGAGAGCGAACATACACATACAATCCATGACCACACTCATGGACTACCTACAATAATGAGCAATAATAATAAACATTACCTAACATCTGCAGCATTTTCTTGACAGTTGATATTGTACTATGATGCTCGCTAAATTATGAGTTGGTTATTGACTAGTCTCAATAACTAGGCCATAACTAGGCATGTGGTTGTGGCTGAACATTTACTGTGGTTGTGAACACGAGGCTAGTAGCCGCCTCACACACAGTCTGGTCGTGTAGTGTATTGTCCTCAGTCTCTAGTAGCCGCCTCTGCCCGCCTGACACAGTCTGGTCGTGTAGTGTATTGTCCTCAGTCTCTAGTAGCCGCCTCAGCCCGCCTCGCACACAGTCTGGTCGTGTAGTGTATTGTCCTCAGTCTCTAGTAGCCGCCTCTGCCCGCCTGACACAGTCTGGTCGTGTAGTGTATTGTCCTCAGTCTCTAGTAGCCGCCTCGGCCCGCCTCACACACAGTCTGGTCGTGTAGTGTATTGTCCTCAGTCTCTAGTAGCCGCCTCAGCCCTCCTCACACACAGTCTGGTGTGTAGTGTATTGTCCTCAGTCTCTAGTAGCCGCCTCAGCCCTCCTCACACACAGTCTGGTGTGTAGTGTATTGTCCTCAGTCTCTAGTAGCCGCCTCGGCCCGCCTCACACACAGTCTGGTGTGTAGTGTATTGTCCTCAGTCTCTAGTAGCCGCCTCAGCCCTCCTCACACACAGTCTGGTGTGTAGTGTATTGTCCTCAGTCTCTAGTAGCCGCCTCAGCCCTCCTCACACACAGTCTGGTGTGTAGTGTATTGTCCTCAGTCTCTAGTAGCCGCCTCGGCCCGCCTCACACACAGTCTGGTCGTGTAGTGTATTGTCCTCAGTCTCTAGTAGCCGCCTCAGCCCGCCTCACACACAGTCTGGTCGTGTAGTGTATTGTCCTCAGTCTCTAGTAGCCGCCTCAGCCCGCCTCACACACAGTCTGGTCGTGTAGTGTATTGTCCTCAGTCTCTAGTAGCCGCCTCAGCCCGCCTCACACACAGTCTGGTCGTGTAGTGTATTGTCCTCAGTCTCTAGTAGCCGCCTCAGCCCGCCTCACACAGTCTGGTGTGTAGTGTATTGTCCTCAGTCTCTAGTAGCCGCCTCAGCCCGCCTCACACACAGTCTGGTCGTGTAGTGTATTGTCCTCAGTCTCTAGTAGCCGCCTCAGCACGCCTGACACAGTCTGGTCGTGTAGTGTATTGTCCTCAGTCTCTAGTAGCCGCCTCAGCACGCCTCACACACAGTCTGGTCGTGTAGTGTATTGTCCTCAGTCTCTAGTAGCCGCCTCGGCCCGCCTCACACAGTCTGGTGTGTAGTGTATTGTCCTCAGTCTCTAGTAGCCGCCTCAGCCCGCCTCACACAGTCTGGTGTGTAGTGTATTGTCCTCAGTCTCTAGTAGCCGCCTCAGCCCGCCTCACACACAGTCTGGTGTGTAGTGTATTGTCCTCAGTCTCTAGTAGCCGCCTCAGCCCGCCTCACACACAGTCTGGTCGTGTAGTGTATTGTCCTCAGTCTCTAGTAGCCGCCTCAGCCCGCCTCACACACAGTCTGGTCGTGTAGTGTATTGTCCTCAGTCTCTAGTAGCCGCCTCAGCCCGCCTCACACACAGTCTGGTCGTGTAGTGTATTGTCCTCAGTCTCTAGTAGCCGCCTCGGCCCGCCTCACACAGTCTGGTGTGTAGTGTATTGTCCTCAGTCTCTAGTAGCCGCCTCAGCCCGCCTCACACAGTCTGGTGTGTAGTGTATTGTCCTCAGTCTCTAGTAGCCGCCTCAGCCCGCCTCACACACAGTCTGGTCGTGTAGTGTATTGTCCTCAGTCTCTAGTAGCCGCCTCGGCCCGCCTCACACAGTCTGGTGTGTAGTGTATTGTCCTCAGTCTCTAGTAGCCGCCTCAGCCGCCTCACACAGTCTGGTGTGTAGTGTATTGTCCTCAGTCTCTAGTAGCCGCCTCAGCCCGCCTGACACAGTCTGGTCGTGTAGTGTATTGTCCTCAGTCTCTAGTAGCCGCCTCAGCACGCCTGACACAGTCTGGTGTGTAGTGTATTGTCCTCAGTCTCTAGTAGCCGCCTCAGCACGCCTGACACAGTCTGGTCGTGTAGTGTATTGTCCTCAGTCTCTAGTAGCCGCCTCAGCCCGCCTCACACACAGTCTGGTCGTGTAGTGTATTGTCCTCAGTCTCTAGTAGCCGCCTCAGCCCGCCTCACACACAGTCTGGTCGTGTAGTGTATTGTCCTCAGTCTCTAGTAGCCGCCTCAGCCCGCCTCACACACAGTCTGGTGTGTAGTGTATTGTCCTCAGTCTCTAGTAGCCGCCTCAGCCCGCCTCACACACAGTCTGGTCGTGTAGTGTATTGTCCTCAGTCTCTAGTAGCCGCCTCAGCCCGCCTCACACACAGTCTGGTCGTGTAGTGTATTGTCCTCAGTCTCTAGTAGCCGCCTCAGCACGCCTGACACAGTCTGGTCGTGTAGTGTATTGTCCTCAGTCTCTAGTAGCCGCCTCAGCACGCCTCACACACAGTCTGGTGTGTAGTGTATTGTCCTCAGTCTCTAGTAGCCGCCTCAGCCCGCCTCACACACAGTCTGGTCGTGTAGTATATTGTCCTCAGTCTCTAGTAGCCGCCTCAGCCCGCCTCACACACAGTCTGGTCGTGTAGTGTATTGTCCTCACTTTTTAGTAGCCGCTTCAGCCCGCCTGACACAGTCTGGTGTGTAGTGTATTGTCCTCACTTTCTAGTAGCCGCTTCAGCCCGCCTGACACAGTCTGGTGTGTAGTGTATTGTCCTCACTTTCTAGTAGCCGCCTCAGCCCGCCTGACACAGTCTGGTGTGTAGTGTATTGTCCTCACTTTCTAGTAGCCGCCTCAGCCCGCCTGACACAGTCTGGTGTGTAGTGTATTGTCCTCAGTCTCTAGTAGCCGCCTCAGCCCGCCTGACACAGTCTGGTGTGTAGTGTATTGTCCTCAGTCTCTAGTAGCCGCCTCAGCACGCCTGACACACAGTCTGGTCGTGTAGTATATTGTCCTCACTTTCTAGTAGCCGCCTCGGCACGCCTCACACACAGTCTGGTTATCTTGAGGTTATCTTGAGATGATTTCGGGGCTTTAGTGTCCCCGCGGCCCGGTCCTCGACCAGGCCTCCACCCCCAGGAAGCAGCCCGTGACAGCTGACTAACTCCCAGGTACCTATTTACTGCTAGGTAACGGGGGCATTCAGGGTTAAAGAAACTTTGCCCATTTGTTTCTGCCTCGTGCAGGAATCGAACCCGCGCCACAGAATTACGAGTCCTGCGCGCTATCTACCAGGCTACGAGGCCCCTCGTAGTGTAGTGTATTGTCCTCAGTCTCTACAAGTTGTGATATTACTCTGCGTCCTCGCCCGGGTATTTTTGAAGATGGGTAAGAGAACGGCCGTAGTAGCGGAGCGCTACACTTGAGGGCGCTGCTCTTGGGGGCGCTGCTCTTGGGAGCGCTGCTCTTGGGAGCGCTGCTCTTGGGAGCGCTGCTCTTGGGAGCGCTACACTTGAGGGCGCTGCTCTTGGGAGCGCTACACTTGAGGGCGCTGCTCTTGGGGGCGCTGCTCTTGGGGGCGCTACACTTGAGGGCGCTGCTCTTGGGAGCGCTACACTTGAGGGCGCTGCTCTTGGGAGCGCTGCTCTTGGGAGCGCTACACTTGAGGGCGCTGCTCTTGGGAGCGCTACACTTGAGGGCGCTGCTCTTGGGGGCGCTGCTCTTGGGGGCGCTACACTTGAGGGCGCTGCTCTTGGGAGCGCTACACTTGAGGGCGCTGCTCTTGGGAGCGCTACACTTGAGGGCGCTGCTCTTGGGGGCGCTGCTCTTGGGGGCGCTGCTCTTGGGGGCGCTGCTCTTGGGAGCGCTGCTCTTGGGAGCGCTGCTCTTGGGAGCGCTGCTCTTGGGAGCGCTACACTTGAGGGCGCTACACTTGAGGGCGCTGCTCTTGGGAGCGCTGCTCTTGGGAGCGCTGCTCTTGGGAGCGCTGCTCTTGGGAGCGCTACACTTGAGGGCGCTGCTCTTGGGAGCGCTGCTCTTGGGAGCGCTACACTTGAGGGCGCTGCTCTTGGGAGCGCTGCTCTTGGGAGCGCTACACTTGAGGGCGCTGCTCTTGGGAGCGCTACACTTGAGGGCGCTGCTCTTGGGGGCGCTGCTCTTGGGGGCGCTACACTTGAGGGCGCTGCTCTTGGGAGCGCTACACTTGAGGGCGCTGCTCTTGGGAGCGCTGCTCTTGGGAGCGCTACACTTGAGGGCGCTGCTCTTGGGAGCGCTACACTTGAGGGCGCTGCTCTTGGGAGCGCTACACTTGAGGGCGCTGCTCTTGGGGGCGCTGCTCTTGGGGGCGCTACACTTGAGGGCGCTGCTCTTGGGAGCGCTGCTCTTGGGAGCGCTACACTTGAGGGCGCTGCTCTTGGGGGCGCTGCTCTTGGGGGCGCTGCTCTTGGGAGCGCTGCTCTTGGGAGCGCTGCTCTTGGGAGCGCTGCTCTTGGGAGCGCTGCTCTTGGGAGCGCTGCTCTTGGGAGCGCTGCTCTTGGGAGAGCTGCTCTTGGGAGCGCTACACTTGAGGGCGCTGCTCTTGGGAGCGCTGCTCTTGGGAGCGCTACACTTGAGGGCGCTGCTCTTGGGAGCGCTGCTCTTGGGAGCGCTACACTTACTCCTAGAGTGCTAGTAAGGTGTATGGGGGCGGTGGAGGGAAGGTCTCGGGCCAGCGCTCGGCCCTCCACACACACTCCTCTCCTCTCCGTCGCACAGCTCAATTAGGTTCATTAAAATAATTTCCATTTGAATCTATTTTGCTTTTCGGTTTTTCTTGGTTATTCTATCTTGAAATGTTTAAGTATTTTATGCTTTAATTGTTGTAAATACTTAACACGGGATGTCTATTAGGCAGAGTTAGCAGTAACTTAATACTTCCTGTCTATCTTTGAAATTGGGTATCGTCAGTGGTTGGTCAGTCATGTTGCTTCCCTTAATAATGGGGAAGACCTTTGCTGAAGGACCCGTTGCCCTTCTTGCCTCAGCCGCCAGCATTCACCAAGCGTCAACCTGTCCACTTACGAAGCCTGTGCATCTTTCTTCAGTCGTGGCGGCTTAGTTTATATTGACTAAAGTTTGAAGTGCTTGGAGGTTCTTTATAAGAATAAGCCTACGTTGAGAAGTTTCCAATGTCGTCAACTGGTTAATACATGAACGAAGCCGCCATGCTGCAGGGAAGATGTACAGGCTTCGTAAGTACAAGTATATGAGTGAAGAGTCCTGGTCCAGGTCTACTAGTTTATTATTACTGTGACAGTTGACAGTGTGTCCTGGCGTTACTGTGACAGTTGACAGTGTGTGGTGGTGTTATTGTGACAGTTGACAGTGTGGTGGTGTTACTGTGACAGTTGACAGTGTGTCCTGGTGTTACTGTGACAGTTGACAGTGTGTGGTGGTGTTACTGTGACAGTTGACAGTGTGTGGTGGTGTTACTGTGACAGTTGACAGTGTGTGGTGGTGTTACTGTGATAGTTGACAGTGTGTGGTGGTGTTACTGTGACAGTTGACAGTGTGTGGTGGTGTTACTGTGACAGTTGACAGTGTGTGGTGGTGTTACTGTGATAGTTGACAGTGTGTGGTGGTGTTACTGTGACAGTTGACAGTGTGTGGTGGTGTTACTGTGATAGTTGACAGTGTGTGGTGGTGTTACTGTGACAGTTGACAGTGTGTGGTGGTGTTACTGTGACAGTTGACAGTGTGGTGGTGTTACTGTGACAGTTGACAGTGTGTCCTGGTGTTACTGTGACAGTTGACAGTGTGTGGTGGTGTTACTGTGACAGTTGACAGTGTGTGGTGGTGTTACTGTGATAGTTGACAGTGTGTGGTGGTGTTACTGTGATAGTTGACAGTGTGTGGTGGTGTTACTGTGATAGTTGACAGTGTGTGGTGGTGTTACTGTGACAGTTGACAGTGTGTGGTGGTGTTACTGTGACAGTTGACAGTGTGTGGTGGTGTTACTGTGACAGTTGACAGTGTGTCCTGGTGTTACTGTGATAGTTGACAGTGTGTGGTGGTGTTACTGTGACAGTTGACAGTGTGTGGTGGTGTTACTGTGACAGTTGACAGTGTGTGGTGGTGTTACTGTGACAGTTGACAGTGTGTCCTGGTGTTACTGTGACAGTTGACAGTGTGGTGGTGGTGTTACTGTGACAGTTGACAGTGTGTGGTGGTGGTACTGTGACAGTTGACAGTGTGTCCTGGTGTTACTGTGACAGTTGACAGTGTGGTGGTGGTGTTACTGTGACAGTTGACAGTGTGTGGTGGTGTTACTGTGACAGTTGACAGTGTGTGGTGGTGGTACTGTGACAGTTGACAGTGTGTCCTGGTGTTACTGTGACAGTTGACAGTGTGGTGGTGGTGTTACTGTGACAGTTGACAGTGTGGTGGTGGTGTTACTGTGATAGTTGACAGTGTGTGGTGGTGTTACTGTGACAGTTGACAGTGTGTGGTGGTGTTACTGTGACAGTTGACAGTGTGTCCTGGTGTTACTGTGACAGTTGACAGTGTGGTGGTGGTGTTACTGTGACAGTTGACAGTGTGTGGTGGTGGTACTGTGACAGTTGACAGTGTGTCCTGGTGTTACTGTGACAGTTGACAGTGTGGTGGTGGTGTTACTGTGACAGTTGACAGTGTGTGGTGGTGTTACTGTGACAGTTGACAGTGTGTGGTGGTGTTACTGTGACAGTTGACAGTGTGTCCTGGTGTTACTGTGACAGTTGACAGTGTGTCCTGGTGTTACTGTGACAGTTGACAGTGTGTCCTGGTGTTACTGTGACAGTTGACAGTGTGTCCTGGTGTTACTGTGACAGTTGACAGTGTGGTGGTGTTACTGTGACAGTTGACAGTGTGTCCTGGTGTTCCTCCTCTCGTCCTAACACATCTGATCCCCTTTAGAACAAAAACAAATATTTCAAATTCGAGTTCGTTGTGACTGGTGTTGAGTGCTTATGACTGGTGTTGAGTGCTTATGACTGGTGTTGAGTGCTTATGACTGGTGTTGAGTGCTTATGACTGGTGTTGAGTGCTTATGACTGGTGTTGAGTGCTTATGACTGGTGGTTGGACGTGGCCGCTTATGTCTTGTTTCTATGATGTACTCAATATTCTGCCATGTACTCTCTTCTCTTATTATCCTTATTGCCATTTTCTCCGGTATAATTTGTCCGTGAGTGTGTAAATCAGTTTACCGCCGCCTCTTGTCAAACATGGAGTGTTTCTGCCTTACGTCCGCTGCCTTTTGAATATCTCAGTAGTTGTACTCACCTAGTTGTACTCGCCTAGTTGTGTTTGCGGGGGTTGAGCTCTGGCTCTTTGGTCCCGCCTCTCAACCGTCAATCAACCGGTGTACAGATTCCTGAGCCTATCGGGCTCTATCATATCTACACTTGAAACTGTGTATGGAGTCAGCCTCCACCACATCTCTTCCTAATGCATTCCATTTGTCCACCACTCTGACACTAAAAAAGTTCTTTCTAATATCTCTGTGGCTCATTTGGGCACTCAGTTTCCACCTGTGTCCCCTTGTACGTGTTCCCCTTGTGTTAAATAGACTGTCTTTATCTACCCTATCAATTCCCTTCAGAATCTTGAATGTGGTGATCATGTCCCCCCTAACTCTTCTGTCTTCCAGCGAAGTGAGGTTTAATTCCCGTAGTCTCTCCTCGTAGCTCATACCTCTCAGCTCGGGTACTAGTCTGGTGGCAAACCTTTGAACCTTTTCCAGTTTAGTCTTATCCTTGACTAGATATGGACTCCATGCTGGGGCTGCATACTCCAGGATTGGCCTGACATATGTGGTATATAAAGTTCTGAATGATTCTTTACACAAGTTTCTGAATGCCGTTCGTATGTTGGCCAGCCTGGCATATGCCGCTGATGTTATCCGCTTGATATGTGCTGCAGGAGACAGGTCTGGCGTGATATCAACCCCCAAGTCTTTTTCCTTCTCTGACTCCTGAAGAATTTCCTCTCCCAGATGATACCTTGTATCTGGCCTCCTGCTCCCTACACCTATCTTCATTACATTACATTTGGTTGGGTTAAACTCTAACAACCATTTGTTCGACCATTCCTTCAGCTTGTCTAGGTCTTCTTGAAGCCTCAAACAGTCCTCTTCTGTTTTAATCTTTCTCATAATTTTAGCATCGTCTGCAAACATTGAGAGAAATGAATCGATACCCTCTGGGAGATCATTTACATATATCAGAAACAAGATAGGACCGAGTACAGAGCCCTGTGGGACTCCACTGGTGACTTCACGCCAATCGGAGGTCTCACCCCTCACCGTAACTCTCTGCTTCCTATTGCTTAGGTACTCCCTTATCCACTGGAGCACCTTACCAGCTACACCTGCCTGTCTCTCCAGCTTATGTACCAGCCTCTTATGCGGTACTGTGTCAAAGGCTTTCCGACAATCCAAGAAAATGCAGTCCGCCCAGCCTTCTCTTTCTTGCTTAATCTGTGTCACCTCCAGTTGTGTGTGCCTCTGGGTGGTGTTCACCACCTCGTTGGCACTTTCCCTCCACTTCATACTCTCTCCTCCACTTATTATAAAATAAAATAAAAAAATCTCTTGGTGTGCATAATTCCCGTGACGATACTCTCCACCAGAGCTCCTCCTGTGTGTATACCGAGACTAATATAAATGGCTCCAAAAACCACAAAAGACACCGGCATGAGGCACCTTGAAGGAGATTACTGTGGGCCACAAGACGGCACCGTCTCCACCACAGTGTTGCCTTAAGCTGCCAAGGCAGCGGAGTGTGGCCGGGACCAGTGTTGTGGGTGGTGTGGTCATTATGGCCGGGACCAGTGTTGTGGGAGGTGTGGTCATTATGGCCGGGACCAGTGTTGTGGGAGGTGTGGTCATTATGGCCGGGACCAGTGTTGTGGGAGGTGTGGTCATTATGGCCGGGACCAGTGTTGTGGGTGGTGTGGTCATTATGGCCGGGACCAGTGTTGTGGGAGGTGTGGTCATTATGGCCGGGACCAGTGTTGTGGGAGGTGTGGTCATTATGGCCGGGACCAGTGTTGTGGGAGGTGTGGTCATTATGGCCGGGACCAGTGTTGTGGGAGGTGTGGTCATTATGGCCGGGACCAGTGTTGTGGGAGGTGTGGTCATTATGGCCGGGACCAGTGTTGTGTGGGCCGGGACCAGTGTTGTGTGGTCATTATGGCCGGGACCAGTGTTGTGGGAGGTGTGGTCATTATGGCCGGGACCAGTGTTGTGGGAGGTGTGGTCATTATGGCCGGGACCAGTGTTGTGGGAGGTGTGGTCATTATGGCCGGGACCAGTGTTGTGGGAGGTGTGGTCATTATGGCCGGGACCAGTGTTGTGGGAGGTGTGGTCATTATGGCCGGGACCAGTGTTGTGGGAGGTGTGGTCATTATGGTCGGGACCAGTGTTGTGGGAGGTGTGGTCATTATGGTCGGGACCAGTGTTGTGGGAGGTGTGGTCATTATGGCCGGGACCAGTGTTGTGGGAGGTGTGGTCATTATGGCCGGGACCAGTGTTGTGGGAGGTGTGGTCATTATGGCCGGGACCAGTGTTGTGGGGTCAGGTGTGGTCATTATGGCCGGGACCAGTGTTGTGGGAGGTGTGGTCATTATGGCCGGGACCAGTGTTGTGGGAGGTGTGGTCATTATGGCCGGGACCAGTGTTGTGGGAGGTGTGGTCATTATGGCCGGGACCAGTGTTGTGGGAGGTGTGGTCATTATGGCCGGGACCAGTGTTGTGGGAGGTGTGGTCATTATGGCCGGGACCAGTGTTGTGGGAGGTGTGGTCATTATGGCCGGGACCAGTGTTGTGGGAGGTGTGGTCATTATGGCCGGGACCAGTGTTGTGGGAGGTGTGGTCATTATGGCCGGGACCAGTGTTGTGGGAGGTGTGGTCATTATGGCCGGGACCAGTGTTGTGGGAGGTGTGGTCATTATGGCCGGGACCAGTGTTGTGGGAGGTGTGGTCATTATGGTCGGGACCAGTGTTGTGGGAGGTGTGGTCATTATGGCCGGGACCAGTGTTGTGGGAGGTGTGGTCATTATGGCCGGGACCAGTGTTGTGGGAGGTGTGGTCATTATGGCCGGGACCAGTGTTGTGGGAGGTGTGGTCATTATGGTCGGGACCAGTGTTGTGGGAGGTGTGGTCATTATGGTCGGGACCAGTGTTGTGGGAGGTGTGGTCATTATGGCCGGGACCAGTGTTGTGGGAGGTGTGGTCATTATGGCCGGGACCAGTGTTGTGGGAGGTGTGGTCATTATGGCCGGGACCAGTGTTGTGGGAGGTGTGGTCATTATGGCCGGGACCAGTGTTGTGGGAGGTGTGGTCATTATGGCCGGGACCAGTGTTGTGGGAGGTGTGGTCATTATGGCCGGGACCAGTGTTGTGGGAGGTGTGGTCATTATGGCCGGGACCAGTGTTGTGGGAGGTGTGGTCATTATGGTCGGGACCAGTGTTGTGGGAGGTGTGGTCATTATGGCCGGGACCAGTGTTGTGGGAGGTGTGGTCATTATGGCCGGGACCAGTGTTGTGGGAGGTGTGGTCATTATGGCCGGGACCAGTGTTGTGGGAGGTGTGGTCATTATGGCCGGGACCAGTGTTGTGGGAGGTGTGGTCATTATGGCCGGGACCAGTGTTGTGGGAGGTGTGGTCATTATGGCCGGGACCAGTGTTGTGGGAGGTGTGGTCATTATGGCCGGGACCAGTGTTGTGGGAGGTGTGGTCATTATGGCCGGGACCAGTGTTGTGGGAGGTGTGGTCATTATGGCCGGGACCAGTGTTGTGGGAGGTGTGGTCATTATGGCCGGGACCAGTGTTGTGGGAGGTGTGGTCATTATGGCCGGGACCAGTGTTGTGGGAGGTGTGGTCATTACCGCGGCGTGACACGCGCCAGCTAAGGTGCTCCGGGAAACATGTCAACAAGCGCCCACATAACCCAATACTCAACCATGGTAAACATCCCACACGTGCCCCGCCCACCACTGCTACACTCCACTAATGATAACTGTCTTGTAACACTGATGTGTTACTCCAACACCTCGAGTAACAAACCACGTTAATGGAAAAAGTGACACCGACACTCTCCCGTCTGAAGATAAAAAATATAGTGTGCGGACTTGTGTTAGCGCGGAGACCAACTTTGTGAAGCCCTGCCAGCGCCAT